GGCTCCATAAGCCGCCGCCTCGGGGCTTACGGCAGGATTTAGGGTGTATTTTGCTAGGCCATTCCTATGGGTCGGGGGACCAGCGGGGGGAAAAATAATATCCCCAAGGGCCAGCGTTTTTTTGGCCGTGCAGGTGTTGGGATCGTCTCGGGCGCAGCGGGAATGTCGCCTTGCCCAGGCAGATGTGGCACATCTGGGAAAGGAAATAAGTGATTTAACTGCTTTAAAAATAAAACTAAAACCTCCAAAAAAGGGGGTAGGCGGATTTTGGTGATTCACTGGGATAGAAAAGAGGGAAAGAAAGCGAAAAAGCTCTTGGCCTGGCTCCCACCTTGCTCCCGCAATCCCTGCAGCTCTATCCCTCATGGAGCTGGTGGATCCACATGGCAGCTGCTGGGGCAACACGGGGGAGCATTGGAGCCAGGTCCGGAGCTGCTCCGGCGCTTTGGCACCCCAAAAGTGGGAATTTGGGCAGCTTTCCCGGTCTGGATCTCTCTCTCCACCTTTGAAACATGGGAAAATCATCATCCTCCATCCACGAAGAGCTGCCGAGGCTTCTTAGGCCATAACTCCCCAAATTAATAACCAACAAGGAGGGTTGCCAGCTCCTCCTCTTTTTTTATTTCTTGTATTTTTTCCCCTCTTTTTCTGCTTGTTCCTCCCGCTCAAGGTTGAGGAACGCCGAGGCTGCCGAGCCTTGGCCAAAGGCCACACTGATAGGCAGCAATGCGCCCTGCCCCGGCACGCGGCGCGCTGCCCGAGCCCCGAGCAACTCGGCACACGGCTGCGCCGCGATGCCCGGGCCACCGCACGATTGCAATTTGGGGGTTTGGTTTTGTTTCGTTTTGCAAATTTTGCAAAAATCGCAGGCGCTTCCCACTCGTCCCCTTTGCACCAGTGGCCTCTCAGACATCCCCAAACCTGAAAGCTTTGGGGAAATCCAACCCCATCCCAGGACCAGCACATTCCCCTTTCGCCCTCCGGCCGCGTTTGGTTGCATTAATGGGGATAAAAGGGAATTTTTGCAATGCTGCCGGCGGCCGGACTCGGCGCTCGCCTATTTTCGCAGCCCCCCGTCGCGAAGGTTTTTGCATCTCTTCCCTTGGCCAGGCCGGAGACTTCCTCCGCCTCGGCCCCGCTTCCTGCCCTGGCTGTTTATTCCCTTCCCGCTGCCCATCCCGGATTTCTTTGTTCGGTCCGTGGTAATTTTCCACTCCGGCCGAACACGGCCGCAGCATCGGGGGTCTGGCGAGGGTCAGCGCCTCGCAGACGCTATCGCGCTTTCTTCTTCTTTCTTTGGCTTGAAAAAGAAGCTACAAAAATCATATTTTCATCCAAAAATCACTCCACACCATAGGCAGAATGTTTCTAGCCACGAGGCTTGTGCGTTGCTGCTGTTTTTTTTTCAGCAAAGCCTTTTTTGGGCCAAAAAAACACACCAAAGCACTGATTTATATATAGTCATTTATATATAGTCATGCATACATATATACGGTCATATATAGATAAATATATCTGTTTGCTCAGTGAGGACTGAGTCCTGGCGGCACTCGTGACACAAGTGCTCAGTCACAGGCCCCGCTGGGCCCCAAGGGGGTAGCAGGAAAGCAGCATTTTGCCCCAAATCCAGGGCCGGCACCACCCGGCCTTGCCGGGAAAGGCCTTTCCTAAGGCGCTCTAATCCCTGCAGCCTTCAGCCCCTCACTGCCGGCATTAACATTTTTGGGATATTATTCGCAGCCGTCATGGGACCCACCAAGCCTTTCCAAGGGATTTTTTCTTTCGGGATGCTTACATTTTTGCTGTTTTTTTTTGCCCCACTCTTCCCGTAAAGAGCAAAATCCCAGAGTGGCCGGGAAAATCCTACGCGGGGCACATGCGGGGTCAGGAAAATTCCAGGCAGGGGCCAGCTCTGTGTCCCGGCCATCCCGCAGGAAGCGCCCTGGCCGTCGGGATGCGCATTGTGCCGCCCGGCTTCCCGCTCCGAGAGCCGGGAACGGCGCGGGGACAACAAAGCGGCCGGTGTCCCCTGCCGCGCTGGGGCCGGGATGGGGCTTGCGGATCGCTTGGCTCCGTGGGGACATCCAGGCCAGCTCTGTCTAGCTGGGGTGCCCATCGCTAGCCCATTGTTGCATGTCACTAGCCCAGCACTGCACACCCCTAGCCCAGCACTGCACGTCCCCAGCCCCGTGTTGCACGTCCCTAGCCCTGTGTTGCCCATTTTTAGCCCAGTTCTGGACATTTCTAACCCACTATAGCACATTCCTAGCCCAGTGTTGCATGTCCCTAGCCTGGCATTGCGTGTCCCTAGCCCCACATTGCCTATTTTTAGCCCAGTTTTGGATATCTCTAGCCCACTATTGCACATCCCTGGCATGGCATTGCAAGTGGACATCTCCAGCCTGGTTTTGGACATCTCTAGCCTAGCAATGCACATTTCTAGCCCAGTTTTGCCCATCTCCAGCCCAGCTTTGCACATCACTAGCCCATCATTGCAAATCTGTAGCCGGCTATCAGACATCTCTAGCCCAGTACTGCACATCTCTAGCCCACTATTGCACATCTCTAGCCTGGCAATGTACCTGAATAGCCTAGCCCTGCACATCTCTAGCCCAGCACTGCGCCTCTAGAGCCCAGTGTTGCAAGTCTCTAGCCCAATTTTGCAAATCGCTAGCCCAGTATCGCACATGACTAGCCAGGTTCTGCAGATCTCTAGTCTGGCATCGCAAATCTCTGGCCCAGTCCTGTAGGAAAGCAGCTGGCACCAGGAAGACGATGAGAAATGAGGCAGTGAAAGAGGAGTTAAAATTCTGGGAACGGCGGAGGCAACGTCCCTGTCCCCTTCATCCCAAGACACTGGCTGGGATCGAGGTCTCCAGCTGCGGCCCTGCAGCTCCTTCTCGGGCTCCTGCCGTGTCCGAAGCGCAACGGGCTGGGAAGATGTTTCCTGTGCTAGCAGCAACCTGTTTATTTGGACAATTTTTCTGGCCTGCTACCTGGCCGCGGTGCTTGGGTGACGCGCAGCCAGCTTTGCCGCGAGGGCCGCGGGCTCCGTGCGCCGGCCGCGGCGAGACAAAACCCGCTTTCCTGCCATTGAAATCATTTTTCAAAGCACCCCGCTGGCACGTCCGAGCGGGTCCCGGCCGGGAAGCGGTGCCCACGGCCGCCGGGAAAAACGCCCTTCAGCTGCGGAGATTTCCCAGCAAGTCCAAGGGGGTGGGCGACCCCCCGCGATTTGTTCCCTTGCGCTGGAGCTGGCCATGCGATCTTGGATATTTGCAAATGCAAGTTTGCTTTTCGCGTTTTTCCATTTGCGATTTCGCTTTTTTTCATTTTTGTAATTGCAATTTTGCTTTTTGTGATTTTGCATTTTTTGCAACTGCAATGTTGCATTTTGCAGCTGCAATGTTGCATTCTGTAATCACAGCTCAGCATTTTTTGCAGTCAACGTTTTGCATTCTGCAACTGCAATTCGGCATTTTTGCAACTGCAATTCGGCATTTTTGCCGGCGCCTGCTTTATCTCCAGGGCCAGTTTTAAAATAGCAGCCGCGGGGCGTTCTGGAGCGCAGGGGCCGGGGGGCCGGTTTCCACGAAAGCCTTTTTTTAGGCATTGCAAGAGCCAGCCCAGAGGGTCGTCTTTGGTGGGGGAAAAAAATAATAATAATGAAATCCCAGCTATGCAAGCCGGCTCACGGGGCTGGAAAACGCAAAGCGACAGCCTGCGCTGGGGCCTCCGGCCGGCCCGACGAGCCGAAATAACTCGCGGCGCTTTTGGCGGGTGCTTCCCAACTCTGGGCAAATTCGGGAATTTTTAGCACAGACCCAGGAAACTTGGGCAAGTGGTTGCAGGGGCTTCATCGGTCATCTGAAAACTCAATAGATTGGGGATAAACCTCCCAAAAATGAGGAGAAGCAGAGCATTAACCTCCCAAAACAGTGGATCGTTCAACCAAATCCATCAAGGAGCTGGGCTGATTGAGGGTCCATTTTGTTTAATAAAATCCCATAGTTGCATCTCAGCCTGGATCAGCTGGGATTGTATTGACTTTTGCACTGGACGAATTGCATCCTCATTGCATACCCAAGGCATTGCCAAGGTGTGTTCATTACTTCCCTAATGTATTCCCAAGGCATCCTCTTTGCATCCCCAGTGCATCCCCACCACATTCCTAAGGCATCCCATTGCCTCCCAAGGGCATCCCTAAGGCATCCCTATTGCCTTCCACTGCATTCCCACTGCATTTCCAATGTATTTCCTTTTCATCCTCACTG